TAGGGAGGAGTGAATATTGGGTTAGCAACAGGTGGATGAGTTATTGCATTGGTAAAAAACGGGACCTTTCCCCCCTTCTTTCTTTCCTTTTCCATCTCTCTCTCCATCTCCTTCCTTCTCATTCTTCTTCTCTTCTGATGTTGCCTGAGTTCAGATCAGATCAAAATCAGATCGCAGACACAAATTTCCATAACAAAAAAAATCTTACTTCTAAAACACAAAAAAAAACTGTTCCTGGTTTTTGAACCATTTTTCACAGGTGCCTATTCCTTTCAGACTGAGCGACAGGAGTGTGTTAGAACAACTCAGTGCCCGGAGGATGAAACACTGTCACAGCCTTTTTCTGCTCCGTAGAGGAACGGGGTAATAAAAACATCCAGGGCTCAGGAGTTTTGCTGGGTAAACTCCACATGTGTTTGTTTACACATTTGTAAAAACAGCATTGGCCTGAACACGGCTGAATGATCTGTTCATCCAATCAGTTTGATTAGAGCCAGCGATATAGAAAACTATCATTCAAGAAATACAGCATTGGAGACTGAAAAGAAATGTTTGGATATAGAGTAAAGATATTTGGAGACACATATGATTTGAATGTATATAACATGAGTTTTATGGTATTTTGATTGTTTTCATTGTTTAAGAATTATCCTAAAAAAAAAGACATTTATTTGAAGGGATAATTTATTTGTAGAGCATGAAAAACAGACAAATTGCATGTTTTGAGTAAGTGTATACATTTTTCAAAGTTTGTAATTACATGTAGAGGAAGCACAACTTGTGGATGTAAAACTTTTTAACTTTTAACTGTGTGTGACGAACAAAAGGAAGCATAATGAACCCCCCGACTAGACTGAATCCTAACAGTATTTTCACCATAGCGTTTGAAAACCTGCAAAAAATCTAGTTTATTGCTGAAGAAGCACATACAGTACCCCAGTAACTCCCTTACGGCTTAAATTTGATGAAGAACACACTTATTTGTATCTGCTTCACATGTCCAAAAACATGGGATAAACCCAAGAGTAACAAGAAAAAGCCTTTAAAAACAAGAGTTAAATAAATGGTTGATTCACACTTGACTACACTTCTTTGAGCGTATTGATGCTTCAGCCGAACATGTCAAAGGTGAAGAGATCTTACAAATAAGAGGCAAATGTAGCTTTTTCAAAAGCTTAGGGCACTTCCACTGCCACTTACAACGACATATGAGCATTCCTTTGATTGATTTTCAAAGAATGAATTTGTCCCTGTTGTGGTTCTCTACTCTGAAGAATTGAGGCATTTATTGAACAAAAAGAGGTTCATTCTCTGGGATATTTTTATTTACCAATCCAGGGACTAAACTGAGGGTGCAAAACTGGTGCTAATCACTTTTGGACACATATTCACACTTCACATTGACAACATTTTCAATATTTTCAATTGGGCTTACTTTAAATAATTATTATATATAACATGACATGGTTTGTAGCATCTTGTTATTGTTGTAAATTCAGTATAAATGATTTGCACTTTGGGGTTTTCCATGCGACAAAAACCCATCATCTCAAACTTGTCTCGATCTTGCCCATAGCACTTGGCTGTTTTGCTGGCACCACTTTCAGGCTCCAGCAGTTTTCATTGGCTCGCACTAATGGCTCATAAATCCTTACAGAGCTCCTATCGCTGGTCGGCCTCGGGGTAATTGTGAGTGTTTTGTACACTCCAGGTGCCACCAGAGCGCCGGCGTTTGTAAACAGAGCTTGTAAAGTGGAGACGGTCAGCCATCAAAGTGTTAAAGTTTCCTGTGAGGATCAGAGTGGTGCTGGGATGAGGGTGCAGGTGGGCTGATACCTGGATGCTGAGGCATTCCCCTGTCCCCGCAGCTGCGTGGCAGAAGAAAGACACTCATCAGGCCCTGTGTTTGTTTACCCTGTCCCGCTCTCCTCTTTGTACTGTGGGTGTGCGTGAGCATGACCTCACTGGGGAAGCATGACTGCCCATGTCCAGAGCTGTAAAGACTTTCAAACATGTCCCAAGTGATGGCAGCAGCAGATGTGCAGAGGTCCTGCCTCTGATGTGATTCAAGAGCTCTGATGGCGGCAGCAGCTGTCCACCTTGAAAGTGCTAGACGTTTTTGGCGCATACAGTATATGTTTTCTGTGTTAAATTATTCTTCAAGCATTTCTGCACTAGTAATGGTCAGTTGAATAAATGTAGTTTACTTAGGAGGGGCTATGTGTACTGCACTCCTACTGTCTTAAAGGGGTGTTGGGAATCAGACTCAGACAAAATGGGATCCTGTGCATCAAAGCAGTTTTGTCAGACAGAGCAGAGTCAGCACATGATTTATATAGTCATTGTTACGTCACACATCCAAAGACACTCAAGAGCATATCATAGTCACAACATGGATACACAATCAGAGTCCTTGTAGAGTCTTGCGTTTGTCCACCTGGTAGCTCATATAGCTAACTAATCCTCATAAGGATTTACAGCAATCACATGTAAATCTGTGTCTTCAGCTGCAGACAGGTCACCTGAGCTCCAGACACGCTATACTGTATGTCACCACTGAATTATCTCTTCTGATTGGATAGTTACCGAAACATCATTCAACATTACAATTGTTCTATTTGATTTTTTACCAGTGTTAAAACAATGAACCCATCTGGTTAAAAGCTTACATGTGTCAAATTTGGTACCCAATGAGCGCCGACTGTGACATCATACCTTCCTCCAATGTAGAATAGGGATTTCTCTCCTAAAATTACATTCCACAGAACTGCTTGCCTTCATTCAGATCGCGCCGTGTATGATGAAGAAGATGTAAATAAGTATAATGTCATTTCCTACCTGCTCCTTTAAATGGGAGTGTTTGCCACAGTCTCTGATCACAGCGTTCACACCTCTGGCCCCATGTTGACACCACTATTCCAAAACAAGCGCCCGCATCCAGTCGCAGTTTGCTACTTTGGGTTGAAGATTTCCGCCGTGAACACTCCAGGCATAGACCAGATTTTAAGATTGATCAGATAGTCCACCACATGATGAGGGTATTTTCCGAGATGTAAGTGGGCAGAAAAGGATATTGATAAGGAAGCATGGCATGTAATCAGCTGCTATTCAGTAGATCTGGATCATCACCCAAACATCTTAGTGTAACCACCACATGCGTGCACCTTCATCTCTGATAGAAAGCAAAGGATACAATTTAGCAACATGTCTGAAAGCTTTTACAGCCTTTGAGCCTTTGGATAAGTGGTCCGCATGCTTTTAGTGTCTGTCAATAAACAAGTGGGTGTGAAGACGCAGCATTGTGTCTGGAGAAGAACACTTTAGAATATTATCAGTGTTATGTAATTAAAGGACAATTAGGTGAATAGTAGAGGTAGTGTGTCACTTGGAAAGTTAACAGCAGTGAAGAGAAACTGATCTGAGTTATGACAAACAAGTTACCAACTACACAAGATACCAACAGATCCCAGACAAGGTACTGCAGCGAAGCAAAATGTTTGCATAAATCTTCTTAATTTTTGTTAAACTAATCTTTGCGTAATCCTCAGTTATGTGGCCAGACCTGCATGGCAGGGCCTGGTTAGAACTGTGATAGGAGACCTCTGGGGACACCAGCTGCCACAGTGGGGCTGTGACTGTGGCAGACTGTTGTTGTGTCCTTGGGCAAAGACACTTCACCCACATTGCCTAGAATGAGTCTGATGTGTGTGTAAATGGCTGGTGGTGGTCGGAGGGGCCGATGGCACAAACTGGCTGCTTCACTGAAAAATGACATGTAAAGTGTTTTTGAGTGTCCAAAAAGCGTGATATAAAACGGATGCATCATTTTTATTAAAACAGCAATTTGTAGACAATTTATTGTTTTGGTTATATACTCCACTTGAAGCTAGGGTACTGAACTATTTCAATTGTGGACAAATTGAAGCATTTAGAATCCCTCTAACTATCAGTAGTTTTGACATACATGTATGTTTGGCCTTTGTCACATCTGTAGATTAGCGTTTACAGACAGAAAAGTGATACAAGGGAGGATCACCCTGACTCCATCAGCACTGTGCAGGAAACTAAATATTTAGGTTCCAGAGTTCAATCCCAGAATATTCATTGTTTTCTTCCTGATTTTTTTTTTCTTTATTCTTTATTATCTCTTTCTGACTGTTGCACTGAGCCAAAGCAATTTCCAAGTCTGTGACTTCCTGTTACTTAAGTGGCCATAAAAATGATTCTGATTCTGATTCTGAAATAGCATTATCAGCTGTCACTTAAAGAGCACCAATGTCTCTCAGTGATTGGCTCTCTTTATAAGTAACCCCAGTGTCTATAATAATAGTTAATAATAGTATAATAATAATGCATTTCTAGAATGGTACTGCTGAAAATGATTATGTTATTTACACACGCAAGTCAAGTATGAATTAACCATAAATGTAACTTATTTTCAATTGTTTTTCTACTCTTTCCGATGGGATTATGTTTTTGGACATTTGAAGCAGTAAGAAATAAGTGTGTTCATCGCACTAAAGCCGCGGGAAGTGGAAGGAACAGCTCCAGCAACAGCTTCACTCACGAGAGGACCATACACTGTATGGACATGAACCGCAATAAACTAGACACGTGTTTTTCAACAGCTAAGATGAAAAAATATTGTTCAAATTCAGTCGGGTAGAAGGGCGCAGTCATTATCTAAATATTGTTTTCACATAAATAAATGCACTTTTGATAAACATTCTAATTTTCAAGTTTCACTGTATGCATTATGTTCAATGAAAGTAACTGCATACACATATTTTTTGATTATGGAATTTCAAAACCTCTTCTCATGAATCTGTTCAAGAATTAATGGTCACCTGAGTTTTGAAGGGAAATCTCTGCAAGTGTGACTTGTCCTTGCTCTTCTCTCAAGCTGTTTTTCTACTTAATGCTCAAAAGTCTCTTGATGGGGAAACTCCCAGAGCCCCATACGTTCATAACCCGGACTCTTGTTCCCTTTTATTTTGCAGGCCTGATGGAAATTCGATCAGTCAGTGTTGGAGTTGTTGCCATCAAATCTGTCAGCACCGGTCTGTACTTAGCCATGTCTAAGAAAGGCACGCTCTTTGGATCGGTGAGTATACAAGCTGAGCGATACGGGAGGGCTGGGAGCACGCAGGGATGAACAGATGGAGCTTTCAAAAACTCTAACCAGGGCTGCATCCAAATTCATCTTTTCTTTACTAACTGACCTTTTATATGATAAAACAAAGGAAGGTTGCTTACCCATCCTCTGTACTTCAGTTTGTAAGTTTTCCGACATTTCATTCTTCATACGAACAACTTTCTCAAGAAAAACATTCTCCTCATAATAATCCCTGTACGACTCAGAGCTTACACAAACTTTTATATGATAGAGTAGCTTTAGGTTTGACCAAGTAAAATATCGGAACTTTTGACGTGCTATTTTTTTGAAACAGTTTAGTTGAGGAGTCATTAATCTAAATGAAACCAGGTAGATCCAAACGGCGGCTCGTGAGCTAATATTTTTGGCGCTGAAAAATGTAAAGTGGCAAATACTCCCCAAACAGTACTTTTCATTGAAAGTTCTAATGTATTTAAAGAAGTAGCTGTTCAGTGATACACACTGTCCAATAAAAAACAGATTACAATTAATTAGAGATTCAAGAAATATCTGAAGGGTTATGTACAGTTTTGTTCATCCTGGTTAATATCAAAACATACTGAGAAAAGCCACTAGCCACGCAGTCATTATTTATATTCCTTACAATGTCAGTTTGCATTTGTCGACATTCTGCCTTTAGATGTCAAACACTTTGGGAAGCTGCTTGGAAATTTGTGGGCGAGATACTGATGAGCAAAAATCCTGAGCTAAAAGGTGGTACGTGGCGCAGCCGTTAGAGCTTGTGCTTCACAGCAAGAAGTTCTTGGATTCGATTCGATCTCTAGAGAGGGCCTTTCTGTGTGGAGTTTGCATGTTCTCCCTGTGTCTGCGTAGGTTTCAACTGTGGGAAAATGGATTCGATTAACCCAAGGCTGCAATCCGGAAAAGTGTATTCATTAAAACGCACCATCAGTATTGTCAATGAATAAATAATAGATTAAAGGTTGGAGACCTCTGCACTAGATAATTGATTATTATTTAACAATTCTTCATATCTACCTGCAAAACTTTAGCTTCTTACTCTTTATTTAAGGATATTTTTTTAGCATTCTGCATGTATACAAGGGTTTGATTTGGAGTTGAAACTTTTGATACTTGGAGCGGATTGAAGGGAAATCCCAAGAATCCCTACTGTCTAGTTTCAGGTCAGACAGTTGCTATCAATCACAGCGCTGCACCTGAGCTTGTCGTGAAGATACTGGCAGCTTGTTCTCTGTCAAAATAGAGTGGAGGAAAGAGCCACAAGGAGGCCAGCTGGGCGTCTTTAATGTGTGCGTGCCATCTGCCACTTGTTGTCCGCACAGCAAGCTTTCAGACATAATCACAGTTCTTTGTAGAGACCAGCCACACATCAAGCCCCAGGTATACTTGGCTTACTTATGTGTTAAGATAAAAGCAGTCAGTTAGGACAAATTCTACCAAAACAGATTCCAGGGCAAATTCTACCAAAACAGATCCGCGACCAAACCTGGATAACACGGAATAAAGTTTAAGCAAAAGTTTTGATCAAAAATGGGAAAGATAAATGGTCTCAAGAATGCCTGCTGGAAGATGAAGTAATGCCACAGCCTTTTGAGAATTAATAAAACCTGTATACCTAATTTTGGCTTGAGAGACCTCAGGAGTAGACAAATTATGCAGAAAGAAAAGTTTTATAAATCCTCAACAATCAGCAGGTTCCTCATGGCAAAAACTCCATAGTGATAAAGCAACGCAAAGAAGATAGCGGGGTATTCACCAATTCTTTCTGTTTGGGAAGAAATTAAGAAATAGCTGTCAAAAGGAAACGTTGTGAAGGTCAAAGAAAGATGGGGAAGACCAAGAACAGTTATAAGAATTGTGACAAAAGTCTTTCCACACTGTTCAGTTATGGTGCAACAAATAACGATTACCTCAAAAGAGCAGTCTAAGCAAGACAACCCGTAAGTCTCTCAGAATGGGAAGACTTTTCAAAAGGAAGCATGGGCAAAAATTCTTCCAACAAGATATAAAAGACTCTTGGCTGACTAAAAAAATCGTTTAAAACTGTGTGAGCCTGCAATGTTACACCCAAATACAGTTTAAAAGCATCATCAAAGTTAAAAATCCATGTCTGCCGTTATCAGTTATTTTAAGAATTGAGTAATACATTGATTATTAAAACAACAATGATACAACTCAACTAATCACAAACATGTAAAAGTCATGGTGTGACATGGTGGTCCTATATGTGCTTACTGTGCGGGGGTCAAATTTTACAGAATCACAAAATTATAACATTTAGATAAAATCCTATCAATCAGATCTGCAGTTACAACACACCCAGTCTATCGCCGGTATTTTGGTCAATTTATCGATTGTTTTCCTAAGTATGCATGTTCTTCAGGGTTTTAAAGGTACACAGTGTAGTTTTTACTCCCATCTAGCATTGAGATCATGTATTGTAATTAACGGTATCACAGTGGCTTCTCAGGACAATGTGTCTTTGACAGTGGTCCCCAACTCCAGCTCAAACTCCTTTTTGTCCCTTATCAACCTCTGTATTTCAAGATGGTGGATTGACATGTAGAGTCCTCCAGCCTCATGGACATTTATGAGTCAATTTCTAAGCCTATAACAATTAAAAAACATGGTGGAGGTAAATATTCTTAAAAAGGTCACATCTGTTTTTGGTAAACATGGTTTTTTTTCTTCATTTGGAGCAACGGAAACAATTACACAGATAAAGTACCTTTAAAGTGTTTTCAAGTGAAATTTTCATTATTAAAAAATTGTCAACAGTATTATTACTTTTAAAGCAAATAAAATGTGGCTCATTATTGGGCTATACTTGACCACCAATCATCTGTATCGGACCTGAAAAAATTGTATCGGCCAACCTCTAATTGTTGTCTTTTATTCCAGTAATCTATAACAACAACACTTCCCACAAACATGTTTTAATGCATAAAAAAAATTATGATTCAGAGTTAAAAGAAATCTGGTTTTAGCAAGACTGTTTTTATTTTTTGTAATCATAATAACAAATCAGTATGTTCCTCCAGCGCATTAGAGAGAATCAGTCATTTTGGCATTGTGGCCACTTCTCCGAAAACATCAGGTGAATCAAGCCTTTACTTCTGATGGTATCTCAAAGAGGCTCATCGCAGCTTAGAGATAGAGATCAGCAAAAGGGAATGTCTCTGTTGTATCTGTCAAGACTCTTTGAAAGCCGATAAGACCTGGGAACCACCCATGGAAGAGCCGTGTGCGCACTCTGTTGGTTTGACCCCAAAAGTCAACAAACATGTGCGGAAAAGCTGGACTGATGGACTTTGAAATCACACAAAATTAACAATAAAATGAATGTAAATTGTCACTGGTTTTCACATGCATAAATTATTCAATGCAAATTAAATTCAAATAAAAAACTGTATTTATCCGTGAGGAACTTCATTTACAGACGAAGCACCGGTTGGGGTACAAAAACTTCAGAAGATATAAATATAAATACAATAAAAGTGCAGAAATGTTTTATAAAATACATAAAACAGATCTCCTAATAATCTGTTTTAGACCTGCCCTGACCTGACCAATCAGCTTTCAGTATGAGATTATAATGTTTTATAATCAGATGAAATTAGCATGTTGTGGTCTGACACAAAAAAGAGGTCCTACAGTGTTTATGTGCCACTTATAAGAGATGTGTGTGCTTCATGAATGATGTTTTTAGGAAGGAGGCCGAAATATATGGAGCTGAACGATTTTAAGGACATTTATCATTTCAAGATCTTGGCTCATGGAATTGATTTGTGAATTATTGTTTAAATAAGGGAATAAGTTCAAAGTGTACGGGCTACATTCACTTGTTAAAAGCACATGTATGTAATGGGGAAACATAAAAAGTAAAACCCTCATCAAAAAAGAGACTTGGAGGTGTTTTGATCTCCTTCCACACTAATATTATGATCAGCACAAACGCCTTCCCTTCCCCTTCTTTCCGATGCTCAAATTTGGAACTTGCTGCACTGATTGGTTGTGCTGCTAACACGTACAGAGCAGTCGCATTCTCTTGCTGCTCCTCGCTTGCTGCTTTTTTATCTCCTTTAATCATTTTTGCTTACATTTTTATTCCACAAAACACGGATTACTCCTTTTTACAAACTTCAACACAAGACTGGTGGAATTTACCTAACTTACAGCATGTCGGGAGGACGGGAAAATAGAACAAAACTTTGCGACGGCTGTTTTTCACTCAAACAGGAGCTAAAACTTCTTCAAGACCGAATGTTTGTGCTTGAATCAGAATTGGGGCTGAACACAACAATACCAGTGAAAGGAAATGGACCACATGGACAAAACGTAAGTTATGATGACGCTATTTCATTTCCCAAAATCAACAGAGACAATTGTTGGAACACATATGGTGCCAAGCCCAAACAAGGCAAAGCTAATGATAACAAGAGTGTCATAATGCCACAGCAAAAATCTTTAATTACAAGAAACCGCTTTTCACCACTTTTGGAAGATGAATCAGCAGTAGTCTCTCAGTCCCAGTCTCAGTCTCAGTCAAGGTCAAATGCAGCTGAGTCGCTCTTTATCGGGGATTCGGCGATAAGAAATGTAAATATGCGTAATCTCAAGGTTCACTCAGTACACTCTGCCAAAGTGGATGAGATAAGGCGGTTGGCTCCGAGGCTTCTGTCTGAGACCGGCGGGGTAAAAAGATTGTTGATCCACGTGGGGGCAGTAGACGTCTATGACAACACAAGTGAAAAGTTGAAACGGGATTACTCTCTATTATTGGACGACCTTGCTAAAATGGACACAAAAATCGTTATCAGTGGCCCACTACCAAATGTGGACGGGAAGCAAATGAAATTCAGTCGTCTGTATCAGCTAAATACTTTCCTACTCAACGAATGTTCACGCAGAGGACTTGCCTTCATTGAGAATTTTAATCTGTTCTGGAATAGGCATGAGCTTTTTGA